CTACTTGGAAGGCTGAGGCAGAAGGATCACCTGAGCCCAGTAGGTCGAGGCTGCAGTGCCCATGAGCATGCCACTGCACTCCAGCCTGGGCAACAGAGTGAGACTCCAACTCAAAAAACTAAAATTAAAATTAAAAAATGAAATGTTAGTAGCGATTATAATTAATATTATGGGTAATATTTCTTCTTTTTTCTATTTTCACTAATTTGTCCTATGAAAGCCTGTTACATCTTAAAGCCAAAATAAGATAAATTTCAAGTTTTAAATAACAATACAAGAAAATGCATTACTCAAAAAATAAATTAAATTTTTTTCCCATTCCATCTTTTTTCTAACTTCTCTTTTCAGTTTCAATTAGACTGCAGAGCCAAAGGAAAAAAAATATTTCAGGGAGGCAAAGTAGATGAGAGAAATGTCTTAGTTCCCCCTGAGCACCCAGCCACAGAGACGGTACTCCCACACCCCTCCCAATCAATCTCTCTCCTCTCATTTTCTCTTTTGCCCCTCCCTAGCCAACCAACACCTAAGATATTTTTTCCAATTAACTTCATTTTTGCTATACCTTCCAGTGCTGTCCATAAATTAGGATATGTTTCTTGGCAATGTCCATTCTGTCCCAAGCCATTGCCAGATTTAATTGTTCTGATGCTGATAAATTTGTGCCTAGGGTAAAAGAAAGGAGCAGTCATACACTCTTCTCGAAGCATCTACACAAAAAGCACAGAGTTCCATGGGATGTGAGAAGTAGTGAGGAAGAACTGCAACCCCATTCAGATACTCACCCTTCAGCAAAGCTGTTAGGATTGCTAAGTCAAGATCTTGCAGCTCTTCAGAATCAGCATCAAATATGGTAATCTGTAACAGTTGCAAACAGAAAGACATACACTTGGGGAACTAGCAAACGCTTTCAATGAGTACCCACAGGATTGACACTGGAGCTAATGAACTGAGAAAAACACTCTTCATTTTGTAAAGGCAAACCAATACAGAGTAAATTTATTTATTTATATTTTTTTACTTATAGGAGAGAAACTTTTTGAATAGGATAAAAAAATAATTGTGAGCCCTTGGAAGAAAACACTTTAAAGTTCCTTGTACACTAGAGGAAACATTTATAAAAGAATGTTATTACATTCATTGACTACATACATGCTACGACAAAATGAACCTCTATATAAATTTCTAATGTAAGTAAAATCATTCCCCCTTTTGAAGGGATATTAAATTAGATCTTTTCGTTCACCTAGCCTTAGAAACTAAGACTTCTGTTTTTTAGTGGGAAATAAATCCTCAAGGGTTTTTCGCAAAACAAGTGAGGCAATTACAATGGATACAAGGAGCAAGTGCAAAGGACACACAGAAGGTCTTCATGATGTCAAGGTGTCCAGTGCGTCCTGGCATGTGACTGATTTAAAAAAAAAACAAAAGCAAAGACTTCATTTATGGCTATAAAGGGTCACCTTTATAATGAACAGGTGTATCTCAGCCTTTCCAAGTGAAAATATATTTCATATAGTAGAGGGAACTGGTTTAACAGAAAAGAGCAACACTGCCAACCTAGTCCAGGGTATGCCACTAATTAGCCAGCCTTGAGTAGAAATCTAAAAGTCACTGATTCTTGGGTTCCTCATCCATAAAAGAAAAGGAACTCTCTGAATAATCAATCTTTAATGTACCATGAAGGTATAATACTATGCTTTTACAGTTTTTTTGTTTTTGTTTTTGTTTTTGTTTTTTTGAGTCAGAATCTCACTCTGTCACCCAGGCTGTAGTGCAGTGGCATGTTCCCAGCCACCGCAAACTTGACCTGCTGGGCTCAGGCGATCCTTTCACTTCAGCCTTCCACGTAGCTGAACTACAGGCATGTGCCACAATGCCCAGCTAATTTTTTGATTTATTGTAGAGACGAGGTCTCCCCATGTTTCCCAGGCTGTTCTTGAACTCGTAGGCTTCAGGTAATCCTCTCTCCTCCGCCTCCCAAAGGGCTAGAATTACAGGCAAGAGTCACCGCACCCAGCAGCTTTTACAATTTCAAATACTATTTTCGTTCACCTGATAGGCCCTCTATGTGCTTGAATCAAATCAACCCTTAACTGTACAGGAACGAGAACCCAGTTCCTATAATATGCAAAATCTTTCCTGCATTTCTTGCTCCCCAGTGATCCCTACACTGTACATTAATTATTCCACTTGATAAGAGGAAGAGGCAAACACGGGCAATCTCTGTAGCATGTCCTTTTCTTAACTTCCTGGTTACTGTGGGAAATATTAAGTGTAGTAGACTAAGAACAAGATTTCAACACTGAGCTCAAGTTTCCATGCTACTCTTTCTTTCTTTCTTTCTTTCTTTCTTTCTTTCTTTCTTTCTTTCTTTCTTTCTTTCTTTCTTTCTTTCTTTTTCTTTCTTTCTTTCTTTCTTTCTTTCTTTCTTTCTTTCTTTCTTTCTTTTTTCTTTTAAAGGCAGGGTCTGACTCACCCGGGCTGGAGTGCAGTAGTACAATCATAGCTCACTGCAGCCTCCAACTCCTGAGTCCAAACAATCCTCTGCCTCACCCTCTCAAGTATCTGGGATGACAGATGTGCTCCACCATGCCTGGCTAATTATTTGCAGAGACAAGGGTCTTGCTGTGTAGCCCAGACTAATCTTAAACTCCTGGCCTCAAGCAATCCTCCTGTCTTGACTTCTCAAAGTGCTGGTATTTCAGGTGTGAGCCAAAACACATGGCCACAGTTCTAACATTTTGTCATTGCACAGCTGCAAAACACTTAAATGTTTCATCATCTCTGAAATGGAAATAAACAACCAGGACCATCCATGTTGAACTCACTCACAGGACTATTTCAGGTGAAAAAAAAATACACTTAAAAGCACAACTGCTGGTTGTAAACATAATTGTTATTAATTGGTCAACTAAAGTCCCAAAGAGTTTGTCACATATATTTTGTCATGCTTCCTCTGGCCTGAACTTTTTCAACTGATGTTTTGAGGTCAGGTATTTCAACATAACCAAAATTATTGTATGATTTGATCCAGTCTTCAATTTCTAGAAAGATCACTTTGAATCATGACATAGCTGCATGTTTATTGTAATTGTCAGTTTTGTATCATCCAAGTCATTGATAAAAATTTTGATCACAGTACCCTGAAACGCTAGGAACTTTCACAGTTCATAGTTTGTGACCTCCATTTTCTATCCCAGAGTTTATTTTCACATTTCCCATTTTTTAACACATTTTCAGTGAAATAATGCACCCAGCACACATGAGTTCACCAAAGCCAGGAGCTGTTCTCTTACCCTCTGAAAATATTTGTGTAACTTTCACTAAATGTGACATCTTTTCTGGATCACTGCTATACTACTTAAGTGCTTGTTCTGAGGGAGAGTCTGGAATTTGAAGCATGAGGGTGAAAATGGGGGTGAGGCAGTAAGAAGCCAAGTTTACTCAACTTTATTTTATTTGAGTTAGAATTTCACTCTGTCACCCAGGCTGGACTGCAGTGGCACACTCATGGCCACCGCAGCCTCGACCTGCTGGGCTCAGTTGATTCTTCCACCTCAGCCTTCTGAGTAGCTGCAACCACAGACAGGCGCCACCACGCCCGGTTAACTTTTTGATTTATTGTAGAGACAAGGTTTCACCAAATTGCCCAGGCTGGTCTCAAACCCCTGGACTCAGGCAATCCTCTCACCTCCTCCTCCCAAAGTGTAGGGATTACTGGCATGAGCCACGGTACCCAGCCTTACTCAAATTTAAGGGTCAAATTCTGCATATAACTCTCAAGCTCAATATGAATATATAACGTATTTCTTAAATTGTACAAACAGATGTTTCTAAACTAACATTTTTTTAAAAGTCAATTGAGTTATCAACTTGTCATACTCACACAATCCCTGTGTACCATGCACTCCATCAGAATTTGAAAAAGGTGCTTGGACTGTTTAAGACTAAAGTTGAAAGTGTTCTGAATCATGCAGATGATCTCTTCTTTCAACTGAGGACGCAATACCCTTGAAAAGAAATGCACTGTCATGACTTGACACAACGCAGAAAGGAGCAAGCCAGCAACATCAGTACAAGAAAACTCATCTTTCCTCAAAACTGAGAAGGTGCCTACGGACAGCTCTGCCAGAAGAGAATACAGTCTGAGGCAGAGTTCTTGAGCTGGTAGATTTCTAGAGGACTGTGAATCTCCAGAAATTACTGGCATCATATTCTCCAGAGGATCTGAAACCCCAAAAGGCTTAAGAACTACTCACCCAGGGTGACTTTAGGAAAGGGAGAGGTATAAGAGAATAGGGAGGGGACGGAGAGTGGAAGTAGGGGTTGACGACTGAACAGGGATAAATTGTAAGGAAAGAGACCCCAGAAAACTGTTAGAACATAGGCGGTGATAAAGGCTTACTAAATAAACAAGTGGGGCCAACAGTTTGGTTCCTAGACACTGTATTTATTTACACAGCAGAAATATTATGCTTTTGAAACTGGAAGAATCACAGTGGATAGAAGGATGGCAAGAGAAAATCTATCATGTTATTTGAAACTATCTTATTTGAAACTATTTTCTTATTTGAAAAAGGGAAATAACGAAAGCCTGAAATAAGCACAATATATACTCTGTAAATGTCAGGATATCGATTTCCAATTCCTGCTATTTCTCCAAATGGCAAATGAATTTGAAGGTGATATGAGCCCAACACAGTTCGCCTCTCTCACTGCAGGGTTCTTTTAGCAGAACGGTCAATGGCTCTAGCATTTCCTCTCTCACTCCCCCTGGAAATGCCTGTTCCCAAAGCTCAGGCAAGGCTCAGCCTAACCTATTAGAGGCAGGCCACTACTCTCCTAAGAAAATAGCAGCTCTCGTCTCGTTGAAGGGCATTTTGGTGTTGATCAACAAAAGCAAAGTCACTGAAAAATGAGTCTCAACCTCTGTTACTTGAGGGATTTCTGACCTACAGAAACACACAGCTTGAAGAACTAAAACAGAGAAATAAACACTCCCTATAGTTTCAACATGGAAGAGTCAACAACTCACCCTTCATCTGCTAGGTGTTTGTGTGTGTAGGCCAGGAGGTCGGCCGCCCTGCCTGTGCCTTCACACACCACCACTGGGTCCTTGTCCTTGACAATCTCCCACACGGACAGGATAACATTGGGACCTCCTTCCACCACCAGCCCCACCACGGGGACATTTTGTCTTGAGCCTATTTCAGACCACAAACAATACCACACTGTTAGAGGGTTCCTAGCTCAGTCAGTCAACCACTTTGATTTTCAGACACAATGGCTCAATTACCACACGCTCATTCCTTGCCCTGGTCTCTCCCTTGTTTTACCCAGGTTTGCTTAGATCAAGACCAAACCAGAAGCTTGGACTTCAAATAAGATGTAGCATAAAAGTGGTGAGACCATCTTCAAGCTTTAACAGGTAAAGTCGTAGGAAAAGCCTTCAGGAATTTTTTAAAAGTCAGTAGTCCTTAAGAAATGTTAACTTTTCCTTGTGGGAAATTCCACAAGTATCTAAAAGTAAAGAAACCATGTAATGAATCCCAATGCATCCATTTTTTTCATCTACAAAAATGATCAACCTTAACCAATTCAATAATTTTAAATGGTTATTTCCAGGAACAAGATTGGATGAGCAACCCTCAAAGATATTTACATTTCCGTTTATTCCATTTTTCACTGGATTTTTTTTTTAACAAAGACTATATATTACTGGCTTTTTCTGCCTAACCACTTGACCAAAGCCTATTTATTACTTTATTAGAGCAAGAAAGTTAGAAAAGAGGAATAACTGCAGTTATTTTTTTAAAAGATACAAGTAAAAAAAGTTACAGAATAATATGCATAGTATTACTTTTATTTTTGTAGAGACAGGGTCTCGCTATGTTGCCTAGGTTAGTCTTTTTTTTTTTTTTTTTTTTTTTTTTTGAGTTGGAGTCTCACTCTGCGCCGACTGGAGTGCAGTGACCGCTCCCGGCCACCACAGCCTCGACCTGCTGGGCTCCCGCGATCCTTCCGCCTTAGCCTTCCGAGTAACCGGAATTACAGGCGCGCGCTACCATGCCCGGCTGATTTTTTTTTTTTTTTAATTGCAGAGATGAGGTCTCACCAAGTTGCCCAGGCAGGTCTCGAACCCGCGGGCTCAGGCAATCCACTCATCTCAGCCTCCCAAAGACGCGGGATTACAGGCTGAGCCAACAAGCCCGGCTTGATGTATGTTTTCATACCACACATACTACATATTGATAACTTTATACTATTTGTGAGCTCCAAGTGAGACATTTAAATATTTAGGTATAGAGCATGTGAGTTTCTGTGTGTATCGTTGTGCCAGGTTCTCAAATGTTAAGGGTGGGTCTGTTAGCAGGCATTCAAATACTTCATTCAATCGACTTAATTCCTTTGATGGTCTACCTCTTTTCCATATACCTCTACCTCACTATTTTCTCCATATCACTAAAAAGTGAACTTAAGATGTATCACCCAATAGACATAGGGTTTTTCTAATAATATAGTCCCATATAAGCCGAATGAAGTGGGGGAAATGGATATTAGGGCATAAAAATAATATAAGAAAATTTAGATGAGATTTTTATTAATTTTGGAGTTTAAAAAACTTTTATAAGGGAATCTCTTATAGCCCATGTAATAGAATATTACACAGTCATTCAAAATGTGTTAAATTATACTTACTGACATGGAAGTTTGCCCGTGTTTCTGGGGAGGGAAGATTACAAAAAGAAGCACGGATGTGAAATCATTCCAGTTTTTGTTTAAAAAATGTTGTGCTGTATGTGCGTGTACGAGTATGCATGTGTATAGAAAATATGAAGGTATACATATGAAAAAAGTTAACAATGATTAGTTTTGATAATAAATTATAAAAAACTATTCCTTTCTTCTATTAGACAATTTCTTTGCTTTGTCTGGATACGAAAGTATAGAATACTTTTACCATCTGAAAAAGAAATCAATAATGGCATTTTGTGGAAGAGGGAAAGAGAATTCAATTTCTGTTACATACACTTTTCTTGAAGCAACAACTACTTCCCACAAAAACAAATATATTTATGGCTGTTTTCTGCAAAAGGGATCCTACTGATGCTACTAATAAAATTTGCTTAAAAAGAAAAAAAGTGTAAAGTTCTTGCTAAGAAATCTCACTAGAGAGCTGCCTCTGTGCAGGCTCCCGGGTAGGCAGGAATACAATACTACACCTCCAAATTAAAAGTTTCTACAATAGAAATCCCAGGAAAGGGCACTCTTCTCCATGGAGACTCAGATTATGAAAAGTTATGTATCATGAAAAGATTCCTATCTTGAAATTTTCTCCTCAGAGGCTTACAGAGCAGGAGCTGACATTGGCCACATTTCAAATAGCTGAAGTCAGGAATTCCTACAACTTTATGGAGTCTTTTTTTTTTTTTAAAGTATCCTCTGACAACATCAAGGGTTTGCCAGGGATGCCAAGAACACGGGCTAAAAAGAAATCAACAACATATGTAAGTATTTTCATTCCATCCAAGTAAATCTCTTACTGATCATGTTAATGACAAATACAAACAGGGTAGAAAATATCCCTTGTCAACATGATAGGTAGGAAGATCAGCTTTGATACATAAGAATTTTGAGTTTGTTGGGCATTTTTCTTTTGTCTTCTCTTTCCTCTGAATGTGTATGTATGTGTGTGTGGGAGGTGGCTTATGTTTTTGCTATTTACATGTGGGTTCTTCTTAGAATAATAAATGTTATCAGTCTGCTGGAATTGACTCTACATTATTTCTCCACAGTCAGCAAAACCCTCCAGATAAATCCTAAGTTTCAAGGTCTTTGAAAGTAGAAACGTCACCTGCTGCTATAAACAAGCTCAAGATTGCTTGCATTTGTACAAAAATAAGGAAGCTGCAGGGAATAAGAAAGACGAAGATTCTTATGCCTCTCATGGGACACACTGTAGTGCTACATAGAACCCAAGCGATTTAGGTGGTGAGCACAGGCCAGCAGAGACAACATGTAACTAGCATAGCAGTCCCCTAACAGGTCCTTACCTGCAGGGATTCTTCTTCAGGGTTAATCTCCAGCCTCTCTTCCTTTCCTCTGCTCAATAGATCTCCCTTCCCCCATTCACCCCCACCCCATAGAAGGCCACACACCTAATTCTTTCTCCCCTTTTTCTGACATACACAAGCCTCAGAACCTTTGGTCACACTGAGTTCTAAGTGACTGGTACCCATTTCCAGAATTCCCTCCCCCTCCGCATCCCACCTCACAATCGTGAGATGCCCGCTGTACCAAAGGAGGGAAAAAGGAAAGAAACAGACACGTATGAAACACATGCTAGGCGCTCAGCACTATTCTAGACACACCTAACATACATCTTCTCAATGAATCCTCACAGCAAAAGTTTGAGGTAGACAGTTCCTTCCATTTTATCATAAGAAAGCAGTTTGGCAGATGTGAAATCCACTGGCCAAAGTCACAGGCAGTAAATGACAGAGCTTTAATCTGTCTGACCTCACTACATTCTGCTGCCTCTGGAGATCAAGGCCAAAAGCTAAATGGACTTTCAGACTTTCATTTTCACAGCCAACACTTAAAGGTTGAAGAGGACTTGAGCCTCTTGAGGGCATTCCCACTCCCTAGTCCTCTGCCCCCAAGAAGTGTTCTGTGGAAGATTTAATTCAGCACAAGAGGTAGAGGCCCACCTCGCTGCTTTAGCCCAAGGTCTCCATTTTTCCAGGCAGCACCCAGCCCTCCTGCTCTCTGCCAAGGATTACACCTCTCTGCATACTGGTTTTGGCCCTCTCCTCTCCTCTACCAAAATGGTCCTTTTCAAGCACCACATAAACATGACACAACCTTGACACCTTCCAAGATCCCTATTTCTAAAAGCCCTGTCTGATTTTAACCCCTTCCCTATCTAGGGCCACCTAACCCATAGGAAATGTCATCTTCCCTGACCATCAAAGCTCATGCCTCTACTCCTCTCAAGCTAGGGGATGGGCATGGTGGCTCATGCTTGTAAGCCCAGCACTTTGAGAGGCTCAGGAGGGAGGATCATTTGGGTCTAGCAGTTACGACTAGCCTGGGCAACATAGTGAGACCTCAACTCTACAAAAAAATTAAAAACATAGCTGGGCATTGTGGTGCACACCTGTAGTCCCAGCTACTCGGGAGACTGAGGCAGAAGGATCACCTGAGTCCAGGAGGTCGAGGCTGTGGTGAGCTGTGATCAAGTCACTGCACTCCAGCCTGGGCAACAGAATGAGACTTCAACTTGAAAAGAAAGAAAAAGAAGGAAGGAAGGAAGGAAGGAAGGAAGGAAGGAAGGAAGGAAGGAAGGAAGGAAGGAAGGAAGGAAGGAAGGGCTAGTTTCCTTATTTTTCTTCAGCCATTCTCATTCCCACACGGATACCTCTCTTTCTCTCTCCCTTCTTTCAACCCTAAGGATGCTTCAAGGTTCTGCTAAAGTCTCTATTTTTTTAATGATCCCCCAAGGATTTCTTCCTCTGTCTCAACTGCCACCCACAAGTCAGCACCATCTTATATCCTGCTTTATCCAGGTGTGTATTCACATGTGTTAATTTAATCTCTCTGGATGCTCTAAGGTACAGACTGACTTGGGCCTCTCTACTCTGTACAAGTGACAACAGGGCACCTTTCCCTCAGCAGGCCCTCAAGAAGACCTGTTGGCCGATCCCCTATGGTACTCACGGCTGTGTATCTTCTGCAGAGAGAGGTGCTTCTCCAGGTTCCTCCTGAGTTTCATTTCATTTCCATACTTGCCCACGGTCCCATCATCAGACAGGATGAAGTGGGAGTGCATGGTGTTGAGAGTGGTGAGCTTGCTGAGGGGGTTACCCAGTGTCTGGTACAGGCATACTACCTGAGAGGCGGCAAGGACAAGGCAGGGGCGGACGTCAGAGCTCAAGATTCTTCCCTGAGTCAACTGCTCCAAAGGCCTGTCTCTGTGTGCTAACAGAGTTTTTGTCGAGGTTAAAGCGTATTATTCACTACTTAGAGCTGTGTTTTTCAATCTATCTGTGATGAAAGATCAATTTTTTAAATTTCCTTTTGTTTTTTTTAATAGGAGTCTCACTCTGTCACCCAGACTGGAGTGCAGTGGCATGCTCATGGCCACCACAGCTTCAACCTGCTGGGCTCAGACAATCCTTCCACTGTAGCCTTCCAAGTAGTTGGAACTACAGGCACGTGCCACCATGCCTGGCTAATTTTTTGATTTATTGTAAAGACGAGGACTCACCATGTTGCCCAGGCTGGTCTCGAACCCTTGGGTTCAGGCAGTCCTTTCGCCTTGGCCTCCCAAAGTGCTGGGATTACAAACATGAGTATCGCACCTGGCCAAATTTTCCATTTTCTTTTTTTTTTTTTTTTTTTTGAGTTGGAGTCTCACTCTGTCACCCAGACTGGAGTGCAGTGGTCGCTCCCAACCACCGCAGTCTCTACCTGCTGGGCTCCGGCGATCCTTCCGCCTCAGCCTTCCAAGTAGCTGGAACTACAGGTGCGTGCTACCACACCTGGCTAATTTTTTTATTTATTGTAGAGATGAGGTCTCACCAAGTTGCCCAGGCAGGTCTCGAACTGTGGGCTCAGGCAATCCACTCACCTCAGCCTCCCAAGGCATGGGATTACAGGCTGAGCCACAGAGTCCGGCTAAATTTTCCATTTTCTAATGGGCATATACTTGGTCCTACTATGCATGACTAGTATGCAGCTCGTGGTACATGAGACTCAAAACACAAATTCAACATTATCTGACCATGTGCTTACATGGTGCAGTATGGCCATGTGGCTAACAGTGGTTTGAAATGATTATTTTCCATTTCTGTACTTAACTTGTTTCAGATCACTAAAAAATTACTCAAAGAGTGGCGCTAGTACATAGATCATACCATTATCCAAAAATATCGCCTTTTAGTAGATGTATTCCAGAGTATTTTTCTTTTTTCTTTTTTTGGAAACAGAGTGTCACTCTGTCACCCAGGTTGAAGTGCAGTGGCATGATCACGGCTCACCACAGGCTTGAACTCCTGGGCTCAAGCGATCCTCAGCCTCCTGGGTAGCTGGGACTAGGGGCGCACACCACCACACCCAGCTAATTTATATATTTTTTATAGAGGCAAGGGCTTACTTTGTTGCTCAGGCTGATCTCAAACTACTGGGCTCAAGTGATCCTCCAGCCTCATCCTCCCAAAGTGCTGGGATTACAGGCATGAGCCACTGTATCCAGCCCAGAATAATATTTTGACATTGGTTATTTTCTAGTATTCCAAATAAAATGAAGACTAACAGCCATCCAGCCAAATGGCATTTTAATCAATATAAAACATCAAATTCTTTATTATATTTATGGATACTTACTCATGCTGCTCCACTTCTTATTTGCTTTTAGAGGCAAAAGCACAATATTTAGCATCAGCCCACATTTAAATCAATGCTCTCAAGGCTCTCCTACTTACTAACTTTAACTCTGAGTAATTCTTGCCACCTTTCTGAGGCTTATTTTCCTCGTGTATAAGTGAGGATGATGATGATAATGTTCTATTTCAGAAAATTGCCGTGAAGCTTCAAATAAATAATGGATGCAAAAAGCACTATGAATTTTACAAACATTCAACTTAAAAAGTTACTTGCATAATTTTTTTTTTTTTTTTTTTGAATTGGAGTCCCATTCTGTCGCCCAGGCTGGAGTGCAGTAGCATGCTTATGGCCACCACAGCCAAGATCTGCTGGGTGATCCTTCTGCCTCAACCTTCCAAGTAGCTGGAACTACAGGCACGTGTTACCATGCCTGGCTAATATTTTGATTTCTTGTAGAGATGAGGTCTTGAACCTGTGAGCTCACTCAGGCAATCCTCTCACCTCAGCCGCCCAAAGTGCTGGGATTATAGGTGCGAGCCACTGACTCCGCCGCTACTTTCATCATTTCAAAGCATGACACTGAGGCCAGAAACCACAAAGAAAATGATTGATAGGTTTTATACGTATTTCATATTTCTGAAAAAATGACAAAAAATAATACAAAATAAAAACTGATAAATGCAGCATACTTGACAAACAAAAATATTACTAGGTTGAATCATAATAGTTAAAAAAATCTTTCAAAGTGCAAAATCCCTTCTTGAAGATGCACAAAAAGATGCTGAACTTCACTAGCGATCAGAGAAACAAAAATAAGAAAAATTAGGTATTATTTTATACTTATGAGAATGCCAAAGCTCGAAAAAGCCAAAATATTCAAAACTAAATGGGCACCCACGTACCCTGTTGATAAGAATGTGAATTGTTACCAACTTTCTGGAAGACAAAGTGTCATGTTTTTGAATGTATGTACCAACTGGCCCAAGTATTCCACTTTCAGAATTATTTCTAGGGAAATAAGCAAGTTCGTATCAAAGATTTATATACTTTATTATAATATTAACAGGGGATAATAGATAATAGAGGAGTGATTGATTCAATCATAGTACAGTGGGATACTGTCAGGCATGAAAAATCAAAATACACCCTGGGATTTGCTCAGTAACAGCAGAAGTAATAAGAAGAAATCTGATTCTGTAAATATTTTTTTTTTTTTTTTTGAGTTGGAGTCTCACTCTGTCACCCAGACTGGAGTGCAGTGGCCGCTCCCGGCCACCGCAGCCTCGACCTGCTGGGCTCCGGTGATCCTTCCGCCTCAGCCTTCTGAGTAGCCGGAATTACAGGCATGCGCTACCACGCCCGGCTGATTTTTTGATTTATTGTAGAGATGAGGTCTCGCTGCCCAGGCGGGTCTTGAACCCGCAGGCTCAGGCTCACCTCAGCCTCCCAAAGGTGCAGGATTACAGGCTGAGCCACCGAGCCCAGCTCTGTAAATATTTTTAAAGTGGAACTGAGATAGTTTACTAACGGATCAGGTTTGAGGTGTGAGACAAAGAGATCGTTCAAGGATTAACCCAAGGATTGGTCCAAGGATTAGTTTTTGGCTTGAGCAACTGCAAGGATGGGATCGTCAGCTTCTAAGAAAAGTTAGGGTTAGGAAAGTCATAGGAAGTCAGGATTTGGTATCAGATATATTTGTGATATTCATTAGACATCCAGGCACAGCGTTAACTGGCAATTTGGATATATGTTCACTTTCTTTTGTTGTGAAAGGATTACCTACTTACATCTTTTCCAATAAGATCCCTCTGGTTCTCAATGACACCCCAAGGAGGGATTCCAACTGTCCAGATTTTTCTCAAGGACTGAGAGGAATGGGTTTTCAGGGCATCCCCAACATGCTTGGACACTCCTAGGAGAAACAAGTTTGGAAGTCAAACTTTAGCTCACAAATCAAGCAAAACAGTGACTGCCAGAAAGAGAAAAATTGACAAGTATATTCAAAAGACCAGCCTTAGAGAAACTTGCTGACACAGTGAATTCATTTCTGATAACTTGGCTTCCCCTAGTCTTCCTCAACACCTCTTTCTTCTATCATTACCTCTGTCTTCCTAAACAATTCTCCTCTCCCTGTGGGCAATATCTGCATATAACCTCAATTCCAACCCTACTATTGCCTAATCAGAATATTCCATGTATTGTCCTTCCTCAGCAAGCCCAGAAAAAAAAAAAGACTTTTTTTTTTCTAATCTCACACAATGTCCCAGCAAAACATTCTTCATATATGCCCCTTGCTTCATTAAGGCAAACTAATTTAATAGTTTTTTTATACACAAATATTTCAGAGCTAATACATGAAAGAGTGACATATTAATGTTTGCCCTCCTGGAATTAATAATAGTCATTATTACAGTAGCCAAGACTTCATGGAACATAGTTAAGATTTCAGTAATTGTTGGCTACCTTTATATATATTCAAACTTTAAGTAGGAACTTTTAAAAGTCCATTTTCTAGGCAAAAACTACGGTAAAGAGAGGTTAAATAAATTGCCCAAGTTTATAGAGCTGGTAATTTATATAGCCTACATTCCAACCTAGGTAATCTGATCTTTTTTTAAAAATAGACTTCATTTTTCAGAACAGTTTTAGGTTCACAGCAAAATTAAATGAGAAGTAGAGAACTTCCATACCACCACAGAAACATTAGGCTCTCTCACCAGAGTGGCACATTTGTTGCAATTGACAAACCTCCATTAATATACCATTATTCACCAGGGTCCTGAGCTTACATCAAGATTCACTCTTGGTGTTGTACTTTCTGAGTTTTGATAAACATACAGTGATGTGCATCCACCATTATAGTCCCATATCGAATATTTTCACTGTCCTGAACATCTCTGTGCTCTGTCTACTCATCCCTGCCTCCCCTCAGCGCCTGGCAATCACTGATCTTTCTACTGTCTCCACAGTTTTGCCTTTTCCGGAATGTTGGGGCCCCCAAAAAAGCCATAATTATATTTTGGAACGTGGGCCCCTTGTACTACAGGCTTCCCTCTCTAGGCAAGTGTTCTAAGAACCTACCCGTATCAGTGTGCCAGCTAGCATTGCTGTGAAAGACTGCATTCAGCTTCGGTGAATTTTTTTTGGAGATTCTTCAACGCATTTGCCCGTTTCATAATGGGCGATTATAACGCACCTGCCCACACCGAACTGACTTTTCAACAGTTATTTATCACAAACGGCCTGACGCCTATGCCCCACCTTCTGTATTCACCCAATCTCGCCCCAAGTGACTTATTGTTTCTCCAGTGAAAAATGTCCTCAGAGGAAAACATTTTACCAATGTGGAAGAGGTGAAACAAAAAAGGCAGAAGCACTAAAAGGCATCCAAATTGACAAATTCATAAATTGTTTTAAGCAGTGGAAAAAACGTCTCAATGGGTGTATTGCATCAAACGGAGAATACTTTGAAGGTGACTAAAGTTTAAACATGTAAGGACACATAATTTTTTATAAATAAATGCCAGATTTTCTTGGGTCTCCCTCATATACTATAGTCAGAATTATAGAATATACAGCCTTTCAGATTGGCTTACTCTGACCTTTAATAACATAAGACCTGCATAGCAAGGATCTGATATATCCAGTGCTTAGCACCTAAGTCGTTTCCTCGTCTCTGACATTTTCCCTTTCGACCCATTTTCTGAATCTCTTCCAAAAGCATCTCTAGAATCTGAGTTCTGGACTGCAGGCACACAGCAATATCAAGTGTGAAGCCATCCACCCTAATAGAGATTCTGATTCCATAGATCTGGTTTGATCTACCAACATTGTTGTTGTTTTAAACACCTCACATGTGGTCCCAATACATATTGTCTGTTGAGACTTTGTAAGACCTGATGAGATTACATCATTCCCCTATTCATACTCCTGTTCAAAATACTTTCAGGACTCCCTGTTATGTAGAGACTAAAACCTCAGCATGGCACCCGCTCTGGTTCCAATCTCCTTTGCTGTCCCTGTCCTCTGCCCCTTGAGAAACCCTCCAGCCAGAGGCCTTATCATTCTGTCCATACCTGCCTTAATCTCCAGTTGTATGCCTGACCCTGAGCAGCCATCTCTTACTAGAACGTCTCGTCCTATCTCTCCCTAAAGATCACCGCCAAGTGCTATCTCCTTCCCAAGTCTTCCGAGCTGCCCTCAGTTGAAACTGAAATCCACCTACCTTTTCCTTGTGCACTTCCTTTGTATCTCAACTATAACCCAGTCAGTATCCATTTTCTTGTCAGTTGCTTTTTGTCTGTGACAGCCCACCCCTGTCACTAAACTCAGGGTCTATATTCCTTATCTTTCATACCCAATACCTATCCTAATGCTTTATATTAGGGGTCCCCAACTACAGGGCGGCAGACCAGTACTGGTCCGTGGCCTGTCAGGAACCAAGTCTCACAACCAGAGGTGAGTAGTGAGTGAGCAGAGCTCCATGTTCTGTCAGATCAGCTGTGGCATTAGATTCTCACAGGAGTGCAAACCCTATTATGAACTACATATGTGAGAGATCTAGGTTGCTCGCTTCTTATGAGAATCTAATGCCTGCTCACAACCCCTCAAGAGCTCCCCCTTGTTCATGGAAAAATTGTCCTCCAAGAAACTGGTCCCTGGTGCCAAAAAGGTTGGGGACCACTGCTTTATACATAGTAGACTCTTAAGGTTTATAGCATTCAACAAATATTTACTTACTGAATTTTGCCAAAAGTATGTTAAAGATTTTGCCAAATTATGCTCAACTAGGGTTGAGAAGCATCTCAAGAATAGACATAGCATTTGGGAAAGAGTTAAAGACCAGCCCAGGCAACATGGCAAGACCGAGTCTCAAAAAAAAAAAAAAAAAAACTTGGCTGGGCGCAGTGGCTCACACCAATAATCCCAGCACTTTGGGAGGCTGAGGTGAGAAGATTGCCTCAATCCACAGCTTCGAGAACAGCCTGGGCAATTTGGTGAGACCCCATCTCTACAAAAAAACAAAAAAATTAGCTGGGCGTGGTGGCGTGTGCCTACAGTTCTGCTATTTGGAAGGCTGAGGCAGAAGGATCATCTGAGCCCAGCAGGTCAAGGCTGGGGTGGCCAGGAGCGTGCTACTGCCTTCCAGCCTGGGTGACAGAATGAGACTCTTACTCAAAAAAAAAACAAAAAAAAACAGAGTTTTTTAAATTTAATGTGCAGAGGAGTCATGGGGGATTTGATAAAATGCAGATTCAGACCCTGCAGATCTGGGGTGAGGCCCGAGATCTGTGTTTCCAGCAAGCTCCCAAGTGATGCTAATGCTGCTAGTCTCAGGCCCACCAGAGTGGTCAGGCACTAGAGCAGCTGTGCTTCAATCAGGTCAGACTGATTGATGTTTACAGAAGCTCCAAGGATTTCTCATTTCCCACTTCTTCTGTTCATATAAGCTATTTTAATCATCTTCACACTACTCTGTTTGTGTTTCTTTAGGTTAGTTGGCCCTTGCTTCAATTTAAATATATGTATGTGTTTACACACACACACACACACACGCACACACACACACACAATGCCAAAAAAAAAATGTATACACATTTTAAGAGATGTTAAACATCTGTTAAAAGATGTTTGCCAAAATCAGAAGTGTCTGGACACTGATGGGAACCCCTGTGAGCACCTCTTATAATTGCAGAAGTCAAATGTGACTTGTATGCATCTTACTATTATAATTTTAATACAGTTTTTTTTTTTTTCTTTCTTAAAATGTGTATAGAGGTGAAAGTATTGCCTGAGCTCAGGGGTTTGAGACCAGCCTGAGCAACATGGTGAGACCTCGTCTCTACAATAAATCAAAAAATTAGCCGGGCATGGTGGTGCACACCTGTAATTACAGCTACTTGGAAGGCTGATGCAGAAGGATCACCTGAGCCCAGCAGGTTGAGGCTGCGGTGGCCATGAATGTGCCTGTGCATTCCAGCCTGGGCAACAGAGTGAGACTCCGACTCAAAAAAAAAGGTGTATAGGTTTTATATTACCCTCTGTATGCATATCACAGAGTAAAATAAAGCATGTAGTATGCAGTTATTCCAAAAAACCTTGCCCAAGCCTCCTGTTTTTTGAGCTATGTGAAACTTTCTTCCCCACCCTCCTTTTTACTGGAAATAAAGTAAGTCCTATGCAAAGGACTTAGACCTCTGCCAACTTCAGTTTCTTCCAAGAATGTGAAGCAATAATTATCTTTATAATATATGTAAAATGAGCTATTGAATTACCTATTAGTGACAGGCCAAATTCCTTGGCTTTATTTTGCTTTGTTTCTTCATTCCTTTTCAGTTAAATGAAGTTGTTTGTTAAATCAGTACTTGTTGTTAAATGCTTAGTCAGTTGTGGAGGCCCCGGCCTCTAGTACGCAACAGGGAAGGAGAGTGATTACACAGACTCATCCTAACCTGTAGGCAAAATATAAACATGCTCCACGCACTCCAGGCAGTAAATGCTATAGAAATTAAGAGACAGAGGCCGGGCTCAGTGGCTCAGCCTGTAATCCCAGCACTTTCGGAGGCCAAGGTGAGTGGATTGCCTGAGTCTGCGGGTTCGAGACCCACCGGGGCAACTTGGCGAGACCTCATCTCTACAATAAATCAAAAAATAAGCCGGGCATGGTAGCGCACGCCTGTAGCTCCAGCTATTTGGAAGGCTGAGGCGGAAGGATCACCGGAGCCCAGCAGGTGGAGGCTGCGGTGGTGGGGAGCATGCCAGTCTGGGCGACAGTGAGACTCCAACTCCAAAAAAAAAAAAGAAAAAGAAATTAAGAGACAGAAGTAACAGCTCTTGTTGAGATATTCAGAGGCTGCTTCTTGGCTGTGTTGGAACCTAGTATAGATCTTTTTGTTTTGTTTTGTTTTTGAGTTGGAGTCTCACTCTGTTGCCCAGGCTGGAGTCCAAGGGCACGCTCGTGGCCACCACAGCCTCAACCTGCTGGGCTCAGGTGATCCTTCTGCCTCAGCCTTCCAAGTAGCTGGAACTACAGACATGCACCACCATACCCAGCTAATTATTTATTTATTTATTTATTGTAAGATGAGGTCTCACCAAGTTGCCCAGGCTAGTCTTGAATCATTGAGCTCAGGCAGTCCTCTCACCTTGGCCTCCCAAAGTGCTGGGATTATAGGTGTGAGCCACTGTGCCCGGTCTTAGTGTAGATCTTTTTTTTTTTTTTTTTTTTTTTTTTTTTTGAGTTGGAGTCTCACTTTGTCGCCCAGACTGGAGTGCAGTTGCTGCTCCTGGCCACCGCAGCCTCGACCTGCTGGGCTCCAGCGATCCTTCCGCCTCAGCC